AGATAAAAAATTGGTCTATTTTCGTTTGGCATGCGGAAGATCTAGCGGTCAAAAGATGGAATGTCAAAAAGACATAAGTTTATTTTGGGTTGATTTCGTAAAGCTTCAAATGAAGCTTCCCGCGTCTTTTGCATTTTAATCTTGTGGAGAATGACTTGAAACAATATACAGAAAGACACGTGTCTGCCAAACGGTCTTCGAACTACCCAGATCTTATTTTAAAAGTTGAATGCATTTTTTTGACTGTCAAAGCTACAAGAAAATCTTCTCAAAAATACTTGCCAAACGAACCCTTGATTTGATCTAATGATTTCTTGAGTTCGCACCTGCACCCCACAAGGGTCTGCCCCACAATTTCTCACAGCGCATCCCCGCTGTGTATTGAGAACATCTCCCAATGATATATCAGACCCGATGATGAGATGTTCCCAATACAAGGCGGGAATGCGCTGTGGGACGTTGTTATTGGGTGGAGTAGTCTTCACCGTTGGAACAAGTGGAACAAATTATAATTAACTAATCTCATGATGATGATGATGATGAATCCATCGGATCGCGGAGAGACATGTAAAGAGATGATAATGTGGAGCAAATTAATTAACTAATCTCATGATCGATCATCGAGGGCATCGGGACACACTTGATCATAAAAAACTGGGGGACAGCGAGCAAGGGTAATGTTTTGAGTTTGAGGAAGCTTTGATTGCTAAAGCAACCATGATGAAGAAGAGGTGGTAATACATGAAGCTACGTAAAAGCATGCAGCCATATCTCTCTCTTGTAAAAGCCTAAGTGCCGGTGTTAGCTACTAAATACTAATGGTGTAATGGTGTAATGGTGCATGCACGTATTCATCCTACGTACGAGGGCGTCGTTGATATTTATATATAGACCCAAAACCCGATCATTACATTGACTTTTCCAAGCCTGAACAAATACTACCTACCCAACTTGTAATGCTAACTTAAGTGCTGGATGACCAAATCATCAAATTACTTGATTAATTTGATGGCTCTTAATGTTTTCTCTTATCCACAGATGCATAGAATTAATGAACATTCATGCATCAACGATCGTACGTCATTGTTATGTTGTCTAGCTACCATGCCAGCATTCCTCCCTGCTGGTCAGTAGCCCTTAATCTACAGAGTTCGTGGGTAGGGTGTTAATTGGACTGAATTTGGTCCAATCTGATCCAGTTCAATATGAATCTATTACAAATAGACTTGGTCCAATTCAGTTTAATGGATATTTTGAATTATTTTAGATCGATTTGGAGATTGTTCAATCTGTTCAAATTCTTATTAATTTAGATTGGTTTTAACTCAAACATGATTTATTGACACCTATGTTTTTATCTTCTATCAATGGACCAGATATTGGTTCAATCCAATATAAATTTATCATGGATGGACCAGGTCTAATCCAATATATTATATTGGTCCGTCTAGTCTATCCAAATTCAATATATCTTATTGGTCCGTCCAATCTGTCAAAATAGATTTTGATTTGGACGAAATCCAATTCAAAACCGATCCATTGACACCCCTTTTCCTGGGTTTGTGAAAGTTGCATGCAAAGTATTAATTAAAGCTTTTAGGTAATTCATGTCTGTAATGGCCACCAAGCTGCTGCTATAACATGCTGCTATAACACCTTTGAATAAGACAGCCAACCATCTCTGCAACTCCGTCATAATAGATGTGGGATCTTGCTGGTCGACTGTAGAGAGGCCGCTGTGTTTATTGCTACCTCAATCATCCTTATCAACTGCACAATATTTTATAGCTATGCGTCTAAATGCTGCGAATAGTGATAAGTTTTATAAAGAAATATAAATTGTGATAAAAATCTTTTTTTTTTTGTTGTTGTTGTTGTCTGTTATTATTATATACATTATAGTAGTCATTTCTTTGCCCAACACTGCCATGTTGCTGGAGGCGGAGGCAGCAGACGGCGGTGGCAAGTGGTGGCAGGCAGCGGCGGACTGCGGCACTGGTAAATAAATGACAAGAAGAAAATGATGAATAATGTTTTTGCCCTTTATTGATATTATTTTTAAAATGTTAATTTATTTTTAATTTTTTTTTAAATATTATTTTTATTGATATTAAACTCAAAAAATTGCCTTTATATGCTATTACTCCTTTTAAAAATCTTGAATGTCCGCAATTCAGAAAGTACGAAGAGTGAATACAGTAATTGAATGGATATCCAATTGGGTTGAGTTAATTATTAAGGACCCCGGGTCCACACCCTCCAATTGGCATGTAGCTTAGTAATAAGTGATACTATATATATCCACTATCCACTATTACTATACATTCTACCCCACTGTGTATTAATTATCAAAGCTTCCACAAAGTGATCATATTAGCTTATTTTATAACTGGTGTGGGCTTCATGTATTTTTAAGGTTTTTGGTTCCGCTTACATTTATGGGTGATTGTTTATTTATGTTCTTTTTACTTTAAACATTTATTCATATTTTTTATTTTAAAAGTTTTTTAGTTTAAACGTTTTCTGTTTTAATTTGTTGTTTGGTTGAGTTCCATTTTAAATGTATTTTATTCTCTATCTTATATTATGGTTGGTTTTTTATTCTCTACCTCATATTAATACTCATTAAAGTGTGATATATCAGCATTTGGTTTCAATAAATACTGGGATATTAAGGAAATAAGAATTTAGCGTTTTTCCAATTGTCTCATGCACAAAAATTAAAATATTTCAGTTTTTTAGTGTTTATTATAGTGTTGATATGACACTTTTTCAATAAATTAACGCCAACAGAATCAAACACATACTTTTTGAATGATGAAAAATATTATCATTGCTATGCTTAACATTTATTTATTGCATTAAGATAATTCTATCTAGTTCATTTGAGAGTTTAGCCACTTAGAATTTTGATGAATAATTTTCATTGGTGAGTGCATGCCTTGATACAAGTGCGCAAGTGCAGGAGACTAACGATCGATCTACCAAATGAAATGAAATTATATATTCTTAGAATCACAACTATTTTAGCTTAGTTAAATTGGCAAACAAAATTATGGTTTTACTGAAATAAGTATCTTGTGTGATCAAATGAGTGTGATTTATCATCAACATAATGACGAACCAAACGAGGCCTAAGAGTCGTCCTATCAATATTCTAGCTGAACATGGATTTTAATTTAAACAAATCTTTAATTACCCAATTACGTGACATGAATGACATAGCAGTTTGTACAGAAGAGGGTGAATGGATCTTCCTCTTGACCTTGCTGAGTAATGTGGGAGGGTAGTCTTAAGGGGTTTTAAAAACAACATGGTTGGTTTTGTTTTTAAAAACAATTATTACGGTTTTTAAAACTGGACCGGACCGGAAAAATTGGGAACTGGTCACCTGACCAATTCCGTTTTCCCTCAAAACTGTTTTTTTCCCTAAAATCATTGATTTTGGTTAGCAAACCACTGAATCGGCCAGTTAATTGTTCGAACTGTTTGAACAGTTTTGACTGTTTTCTAATTTTTTTTTTAAATTTTTTTGCCATAACGGGCCGGCCATTCGGGTCAAACAGTTGGACCATTTGACCGAGCTGTGAGGATAAAATTCCAATTCCAAGGGTTTTTTTTATTTTTTTTATTTTGAGAGGGGGGAAAGTTGGTCAATGGGATTTTGGTTCTCATTGACCAAGAATCCCATGTTCTTTTTTCAGATTAATGTGGTGAACAGGAAAAGTTTATTTTCTTAGATATACCCATCTCCTAGGTAGGTGATAAATAACTTTCCCACTTAAGAGGAAAGATTCCAACACTTAAATGGGACATAAATGTCACATTTAATAATGGATTTTTATAGTTAAAATGGTAATTTTCTTTTTTACTTGAAAAATAAAATAACATATATAAATACACTTAATTGGATAAGTATTTTCCAAAAAAGACATACCCAGGTAACAGCATTTAGCATTTACCTGGATAAATAACTTATGGAACAGCAAACGGGCCCAAGTGTAAAACATCAACCCGTTTAGTAAGAATCTGGCTTGGACTAGTGGGTTCTGCCATGCTCACTCCTTAGTGAACAGTGATGTTGTGCAGGATTTGGCTTAGCCCCAATTACTGGAGGATTCTTACTCAACAAGGCCCTCAAATATATTTTATATATCTATCTTACATATAAAAGTGATGTAAAAGATTCATTTATACTTAGTATGTTGGGTTTAGATTTACATGGTCAAATGTCAATTGCCAAGACAAAGCTGAATGATACTCGCCTCTTTTCTTATGCTGAACTAATGGAGTGAGTTTAATTAATATTAACTCATCGGCGTGCATATGTAAAATCTTGAACTATTAATCAGAACACAGAAAAATGAATAAAATTTTTTTAAGAGAAACTCTGTTGATACGAGCAAATTCCAGTGTTCGATTTCGAGGTTGAAACTTGCATCGCATGGAAAGGACGAGAAGGGAACCAAACTTGCATCGCATGAAACTTGCATCCAAGTCATCGAATGGATGACTTGTGCCAGCAACAAGTTTTTGTTAGATCAGTCAGCGTCGTAAAGTTAATATTTTTTTGTTTAATAAAACTAAAAATTTGAGCCGGGCCAACACGAAACTTCCTGGCGCAATTTTAACCCTACACGATTCTTCCTATTTATCTACTTCTTTTATTACTATTTAAACGCGATACTCCACTTCTATCAGAAAACCAGACCACTATATCTTAAAGTGGACCACTCTTTGGTATATTTGTAAATAAATGCTATTAATCGCTTTTTTTTTCTTATGATCAACTGCATAAAACTATCGCAATTGTAGGGAAACCTCCTCAATCTGATTGTACTGCTCGTCTGTTCGTTTATGTTGTTCGATTTCTTAATTATCATCATCAAGATGGAACCAATTAACAGGACCTTTTTTGCAAATATTGCATAACCATTATATTAATCAGCTTCTCAACAGCTTTATTTATTTATTTAATTTTTTCTAATATATTATTGCATAACGATTATATAACCAACTTCTTAACAGCTATATTATGAGATCAATATCTGCATCTTTCTCTTCACAGATGAGAGATGAATCTCTTATTTCATCCTTGATGAAAATGTATATATGTACGTAGCTAGTAAAGCAGATCGACCCACAGCGCGGTTGCTCTGGTTTTAGTTGCGCTTCCCACAATTAACACGAATTTGTCCATGCGTTCCGGTCAATGGCCTTATATTTCCCATTTTAATCATAGATCTGGCGAAATCTGCTGAGAAAGCGCCTGGGTTTAAGCTGTATATCTTCACCAGAGAATCGGTAGAGCTACCATTAAACAATGCTTGATCTGAGGGAAGAAAACCTTTGTTCTTCACCAAGCTCTTAAAATAAACTGTGTCAAAGTGTGTAGGTGTGGAGTCTAGAGGTCCCAAAGTTTGGCCACCTCTGCTGCAATCTGATTGCTCCGGTCGGGCAAAAATGCACCGTGCTAATCCAATTGTATGACCACCCGAGAGTGCCACCAAGTCTCTAGCATCCAGTCCTTGTTTCTTGAAGTTAGCGAGGAGTGTGGAGAGGCTTGATGCGGGTCCAGGGAGGTCGCTGGTCTCATCCGGGTAAGCATCCGTTGAGTCTCTCCTCCCTAATGGTACCTTCCATGTCGGTCCACCCAGCTGTAAACATATTCAACCCAACAACGTAATAATGGTCAGTAATTAAAGAGTATATAGCTTCAAGCCTCCAACATGTACAATTACAGCAATAGTGATCACTCATCATTGCAAAACCAGCTAAAAAGTAAACTTTGTTATGCATCAGATGAAGATTAATGAGCTTAATTTACAAGTTTAAAACATTTCTTCAACTTATTATATTATAGGATCAGTAGGATGCAGAGAATGGATGGGTACGCACTGCAACCACAGAGTCCCGAGCCGCGACAGTGACGATGTCAGCACAGGAAACCACGGGCCCCCGACAAACTTGGTCCACCTTAGATTTGATTTGGTCTATGACTTCATATCCTCTAACAGAGTTGTTATTGGGTGCAGTAGTCTTCTCCGTTCGAATACCCGGCGCCTCATCCAGCAGAATTGAAGCGTCACAGCCCTACAATAACAATGGCATTAACATTACATGATGTGGCATGTCAAGAATATGTGTAATAAAGTGATGATAAGGAAAATATAAATATGTGGCCAGTGGAAGCAAAACCAATTAATCTCATCAACATCTTACATGGACGAAGCAATCATGGAAATGAAGACGAAGCAAGGAGGCGCCCATTCGACGCTCCTTCTGCACTGCTGCTTGAACCATTTTCTTAATGGTGGGTAAGGCCTGGGGACACACTTTGTCATAGAAGGTAGGAGAGAGAGTAGCGTGAGAGGAAGCTATGATCGCTAAAGCAACCATGTTGCAGAGGTGGAAACAAAACAACCTATTTGAATAAGTCATTTCCACTCAAGCTTATTAAGGCCTAAGGGTATTAGTTCTAGTAACGACGTATCCGCGACTGTATTCGTCTAATTGATAGCCCGGCCAATGGAATGGATGATATTTATAGGCTCAAAACAAGAGATTAGAGTGTGTGTGTGTGATGTCCATGCGCTCTCGTGTCTGTGTTGGGTTCATTAATACTTTGAATTGTCAAAAGTCTAAGAGCATGGGCGGAGCTTCTCAAGCGGAAAAGTCTTAAGCCATTTACAAATACTACCAAATGGAACACAAATTGTAAAATAAGATTTTCAGGGTGAACTCACCCTGAATATTGGCTTAATTTTGTTCTGTTAGGTGCAGATAAATGGAATGAATATTCATCTTCGATCGCCATGCATTATTATGTTGTCTACCATGAAAGCATTTCTATCTAAGTAGCCTAAAATAATCTACATAGTCAGGGAAGATTACTCTTAATAGTTAGATAATTAGTGTCTGCAGATAGGGTTCCTTTAAAAACCTTCCTTAGTTTTTATATATATATATATGATTTGCCCATTTATCGTTAGAGTATATTTATAAATAAAAATAAATAGGATAAAAAAATCTTAATTGTTGTTACTGTATTTTGGTTACTTGATTTCTTGCGCAAAATTTTGATCGATGATCATTGTGAATTTAACAATATCTTGTGTCTGGCAATTTAGAGAGTGGAGAGTAAATACAGTAAGGTGGTTTGAATTATCTAACAACTGGGTTGAGTAGTTATTAAGCAGGTCTCTGCCCCACCTTTCCACAAACTGATGAATTAGTGATCCAATATTTCAAACTTCACTGGAAAAATGGACTTGTTTTTAACATTTAGCAACGGTGGGTCCATGGAGGAAGGACAGAAGAAGATATTGAGTTTATTTTTACTCCGCTTCACAGCACATTCCAAAATGTATTGTATTTGTATGATGACAATACAGAAGATGTTTTGGATGCATGCATGTACGCTGAGATATGCACATGGAGCGCATTTGCGGAGTTCACATCTCCGCCCCACAGCATATCTCTGCCTCTGTTGTATATCCAGAACATCTCTTAATGATATGATGCCATCATCCTTGCGAAGATATTTCCAATAATACATGGCGGGGATGTGCTGTGGCGCGGAGACGTAAACTCGCATTCCTTGTATTACTGTAGCCCCACTTCTAGCTACGTTACTTCACATTACATCAAAAGGCGGCTTTGATTTCCCAGTTATAGCGTGTTTACCGGGATACATGTCCTAAAGACTCCGCCACTATACATATGGGCTATTCTATCCACATCATCATCCTCGTAGTTATCATTGCCTATTGACTAGTACATCAGCCATGAGCCAACCCCATATCTGACTAAGGGTCCGTTTGGAAGGGTTTCAGCTTTTGATTGAACTGTTTTTACAACTTCACATTACTAAAATTTTGGAAAGTTGAGTTTTATTGGCTGAATGAAAGCGTAGGAAATTTGGATTTGGTCACATTGCAGCGTTGCATTGGGAACATCTTCATCTTCCCTTGAATAATAAAATTAAGTACGAGAAAGTTTGATTTCAAGCATAAGAGGCTTTTAGGTCATAAAAGTCAAATCCAAATACCATATATATGATTATATGGTTGGTTGTACTTAGTTACACAAGGATATATTACTATTCTTACACTAATGAAACTAAATTTTAAATTTTAAAGTGGTCATATATCAACCTCAACTTGGATTAAAGAAAATAGGGGACAATTACTATTTTACTCCACATTCCCAAGAAAGTTAGGCTCCCAACAGCCAAAGTTATTCGGAATAGTGATTGTATGCTTATTCAGTCGGATCACCCAACGTGACTACAACAGCCAAAACTGATCCATTGGCACTTATATTCTTATCTTTTATCAATAAGATTAGATATTAATTCAATCTGATCCAATCCAATATTAATCCATTGTGGATGAATCTGATGAGTAGTTAGTGATGCTGTGGAAGTTAGTGATGATGCTGAGTGGTCAGTAGTCCCACTCCGGCCGGTAAGCAGCCATGGAGTCTCTCCTCCCTAATTGCACCTTCCTTATTGGTCGATCCGCCTAGCTGCGTAATGGGTTTTACAGTTAAAAATATATAACCCAACAATTAATATTATCAGTAAATTAAGAGTTTGATCAGAAGCCATATATCTGGTATGGTATTTGTGCTAACTAATAATTAAATTGGAAAACCAGTTAGGTGGTAACATTAATATAAAATGAGTAGGCAAATGCACCAAAGCCACAGAATCGCGGGCTGCAACAACCAAGATGTCTGCAGATGACACGACTGGGTCCTGGCGGATTTAGTCAACGGAAGCCTTATTTTATGCTCTAACAGAGTTGTTAGTGGGTGGAGCGGTCTTCTCGATCTCGTCGGAGCTCCGTCTAGCAGAATTGAGGCATCACAATTCACAACCCTTGGAAAAAAAAAAAAGTAACCAAGATTGCGTCAATCCATGGAATGGCAGACGCCTCCCTACTACTGATCAATTACAGCACAAAGCAAATCAATTAATGTTAAATTACAAATGTAGAGTGTTATATATCTTTCCATATATATCTCTCACATGGACGAAGCAAGGAGGCGCCCATGCGACGCTCCTTCTGCACTGCCTCTTCCACCATTGGCAATGGCCCTGGGACAGACTTGATCATATAAGGTAGGAGAAAGAGAGCAAGAGGACACTGTTGCAGCAGCCATGAACAAGATGGAAATTAAGGTGGAAATAGAAAAATTTATGTTATTCGTGAACAAGCCATTTCTCATCGAGATCGGATCCATTCCTCACAAGATCATGTTCACACAGTCCTCACAGTCACTTGGAGCTGTGCATAAAAATATCTTTCTATCAATGAATTAAAATATGCAACTATATATGAAGATATTTTGGCCCTCACAGTCACTTGGAGTTGTGCATAAAAATATCTTTCTATCAATGAATTAAAATATGCAACTATATATGAAGATATTTTGGCCCTCACAGTCACTTGGAGTTGTGCATAAAAATATCTTTCTATCAATGAATTAAAATATGCAACTATATATGAAGATATTTTTAATACAGCCTTGCAAGTGGCTGTGAAGAAGATGGTGTGAACTGAAGACCGTGTTACGTTGTGAGGATTGAATCCGACGAGTTCATTCTTATCTTAAGAGAGTATGTATACGGATATTTATGCAAGTTACGTAGAGCTTATCGTAACAAACTTACAATATACTCATTTTCTGTAACTCTGTTTGTATAACTCTTGCGCCCACTGATCGCTCTCCTGTAATGGGCTGAGCATTTATTGTTTGAACAATTGAAATTTAAAAGCACGGACCTTCTCCAATGGAAAAGTCAAGCCTAATTAACTCATTTATGTCGTCTCGTCTGTTGAGGAACCAGTGCTTAATTATGACTCTGCATCAATTATTCTTATCCTTATCCCATTATTTTCATTGTAATTCTTCATTCTCTTATTTTGGAATTGGGTTTGACTATGATATTAGAATTGGGTTTGATAGATGATATAATCTTGACATAAGTTTCGACTACCACACCGAAAGACATCGATGAGGGCCGATTTATTCCTCCAATGACATTGTAACACATGGTACCTCAGAACAATTAGGTGATATCCGAAATCATTCGGGTAACAATTTAAAAGTTGATGGTTTCCAACCTGGCAGCCTGGGCCAGGTGTTGACCTAGCACATGTGTCGATCTAGCAACCTGCGAGATGTGTTCGCCGACAAATTCGGCATGCATACCCCACGATCCTTGGAGGTTGGCCCTCGTTCCGGAAGATGGTTAACGTGCATGGCAATTACCTCCGAGGATCTCGGACCAGTTAGACACGACCTCCTGGAGATCTCGGGGGCGATACGTGAGTAAGGCCTATATAAAGGCACCAACCCCAATGACGGGGRGCAAGTGAGAAGCAAGCAAGTAAGCAAGTTTTAGCTCTCAGACTTTGTGATTTTTAGTTCGCAGTCTACTATGAGAGTACTGACTTAAGCATCGGAGAAACCTCGACGGGATAGCCACCCCGGGTCCTTTGACATTTGGTTCCTTGCAGGTCTCTAAAGAGCAACGAAGCTCATCAATTTAGCTCGCCACCTGGTCAGCCCGGCACCTCACAGTCAGCTTGGCACTTGGTCAGCCTGGCACCTCACAGGCAGCTCGACACCTCATAAATAGCTCAACACTATAGTCAGCTCGCCATCTAGCCTACCCAACTTGGTTAGCTCGGCAGCCAAAGTTCTCCATTTCAGCCTAAGTCATCGGCCACTTGGAAGTAGACCAAATGACGAGGTATTTAGCCAAAAAATTGATACTTAAACCAAAAATTGATCCATCAGACATTATATTCTAAAATCTTTTGACCGATCAAATGGTATTATAAACATGATAGCCAATCAGATATTATTTATTAAAATTCATGAGTGAGTCTTGATTGGTCAAAATTTTTTCCATATTATTATTATTTTTTTTCTTTTGACATATTGCTATCTAGATAATGCAAAATTAATAAACAATGGATGTTACAATTAACTATCTAAATGGGTAGAGGTTGTTATAAAGGACTCCTGCCCATACCCACCAATTTAATTATGTATATTAGTATGCTTTTATTATTTTGACTTCTACTACTTCCAAGTTCTACAAATATCTTATGTTATCCTAGTCCACATGGTCATGGTTTAACTAAAGTCTAATTAGCCGGTTTGGTCCATCTTTTTAAACATTGGTAGTGTATATATATATATAGAATAAATTATATACTTTTATTTTAATTTTTAAGCTTTTATAAATAAAAAAGATAAAAATTATATTTTAAGGCGAAAAAGGGGTGTTTTGGTAAAATGGATAAGCTAAGGTGCCTTCACCCCATGGAGTGCTTGGATCATGAAAATTTACCCCATAATTAAATAAAAAATATCACCCCAATCTGACCACCAAGCACAAGGTTATAGCTGTGAAAGTTTTCATATAAGTTAATTGTAATTTGTAGCTCAGAACCCTGATTAGGTAAAACTTATCAATAGTTCAATCATTTTGGTCAATAAGTTATGACTTGCTCTCGAGTTTCAAACCGTACTTTTATAGCTTAGGGTCATTTTAGTTGTGTTGAAATTAGTAGTGTTTTCAATTCGTCATTGACATGGTCGATTGAACCGCTCAAACTGCCACCTAGTCAAGATTCTGGGTCCGGTTTGAGTAAAACCCAAAAAAGGTCAAAAAAAATGTTGACTTGGTAAAAAACCATCTAACATGGATGGTTGAATCGTTGACCTGTTCAACCCGGTGACCGAATCATAGTATGTATGCAAACTTCAGGAGGTCATGACTTTGTAGTCCAATGTTCAATTGAGGGGATTTTTTTTTTTAATTTTGGGTAACTTTTTGAAATCTATGTGTCCCAAAGCCTTGCCTTTCTATTGTTTTGCAAAAAAAAAAAACCCTTTTGACCTCAAATTGCAATTTTTAATATTTTTATAATATATTATATATCATTTACTATTTATGATATAATATTATATAAATCCAAAATTGAAAAACCAATAGRACCAGTTCATTTTGCAAAAATTGTCCAAGGTTCGGTTAACCGAACAGTGAACACCCCTAGTCAAATGGTAAAAAGTAAAAGAAAAATCAAAGAGTCAAGAGTTTAGTCGACTAAATGTTGAGTTCCTGTTGGTAGTTGTACGGGCATTATAATTCCATATTTGTCCTTGATATGGTCTCCATATTAATTATTAAATTAATACTTAATTATTAATTCATTAATAGTATTTATTTATTTATTTTTCATAACTATTACTTTATTAATGACTTGTTTGTAAAATTAAATAATTTAGCTTAATTTTTCATATTTTTCAGAGTTGTGCGCTGAATGATGAGGACGGTAGGCATATATATCTTCCATTATCGTCAATTAAAACAGCATTTTATTTTTTTTATTGTTCCTAAGAAATAAAAATGGACATTAAAAAGACCGAGTTGCATTATTTCCGCATGCAAAAGTAAATAAATTAGGGATTCAGATAGATGTTGGATGCGCATGGGCATGGGCATGGGCGCCCATGCATGCATAAACCTTCTAAAATCGGCATTATCTGGCATGGCATTAAGTAGTTGCATGTTTAGAGGATCAGAGCACACAAAAATGAATCCGAATTCCGAAACCAAACATGAGCAAGAAATTACTTTTATTACTGTTTGGGAGATTGCCAAAAGACAAAAGTAAGCGAAAGCTTTTTCACGGGGCCGGGTAATTAACAGGAGCAAAAGTGCAAAACTATCACTTTCAAAAAAAAAAATATATATATATATATATATATATATATATATATATATATTATGTTTCTATGTGCAAAGTCAGAATGATCTCACTTCAATGGTAAAGTCCCTTTATTTATTAACGGACCATATCCGCTATATATGGATCTAAGCCATTTTACAAATGTACTCTGTTGCCAAATCAAATCAAATCAAAGTAAACTTTTCATCACAGCACAAAAAGAAGAATAAACAAACAAATTAATTTTAACCCATTCCAAATATCAGGTCGGAGTTCCATTAATAAGATAAAGTAGCAGAACCTCACACATCTTATCATCAATTCCAAATTTCCAATGACCAAAAAATATCAAACTGGGGATGACAGCCAGTTGACAAAAGGTGTCTGCAACTCCAGCCTGCATGCGCACCGACACACCTCCAACCAAACATCAACACCACAGGATTAACACGGCCGGATGACAAGTTTTCAGAGAGAGATTAACACGATGTATGTTCTCCCTCCATCCATCCCTTTAATTATTCACATACAATTTACGTCATTTTCAAAAGAAAAAAATTTGGACAATTAATTTACGTAAGAACCATAATCATACACCGCCTCCTACCATATAAAAATAGTACCATTAATTATTTATTCCTTCCATAATCCGATTAACATGCGGTGCAAGTGCATGTTTACCCCGGGCCTCGTACGTACGTACTCACTACTCACGACTCACGATGGAAACCATCAAACCATTTTGTGAATAAAAATGAATCAACTATTGACCTTCCTACAGTTTACTCGAACCTGCCCCTGTTTTCCGGTTAATGGCCTTATATTTCCCATTTTAATCATAGAGTTGGCAAAATCTGATGCGAAAGCTCCGAAATTTGAGCTGTAGGTTTTCACCAGCGAATTGGTGGTAGATCCAGCAGCACCATTAAACAATTCTTGATCCGAGTGGAGCAGACCCTTTCTCTTCAACAAGTTTTTAAAGTAGACAGTGTCGAAGAGTGAGGCTGTGTGGTCTAGCGGAGCTAAATTGTTATCTCCACCAGATTGGGGGCAAATTGCTTGCCTGTTACGGGCGAAGCTAGGGTGGATGTTGATATCATTGTAAATGTGGGATCTGAAGGTGGTGCACCGTGCTAACCCAATTGTGTGTCCTCCGGACAGCGCCACTAGGTCTCTAACGTTCAGCCCATGTTTGTTGAAGTTGGTGATGAGTGCCGAGAGGTTCGATGCTGGTCCTGGGAGGTCCGTGGTTTCATTTGCGTATGCACTGCTCGAGTCTCTTCTCCCCAATTGCACTTGCCATGTCGGTCCGCCTAGCTGTGTACAGTTACAGTACAGCTTTTAATTTTCACTTTTCAGTTGAAAACATACTCACAACCCAACAACCTTCACTACATCAAATTAACCGGTTAGTTTCTGTGTACTGGGTGGGTTAATTATTGGATTTTATTAGCTACTGAACCAAAGGAAGTCTTGGGGTTGAAAACGTAGAGAGATTGATTGACTAAAGGCAGTGGAACTGAGCGCTAGCTCCAGTGGAACTCGATCGTCTCCCTTTTTAATTAGTTATATATATATAGGAGCAATAGATGTATATATAGGGGGCGGGCAGCCACCAGTGAGGTGACGCCCCCCGGGAGCCGGGAGGACTGATCCGGCCGGGGATGATTTGAGAGAGAAGTTCGAGTTGGAGTTTTTCATATCATACATGGATGATGGATGTAAATATATATATGCGCAGATAGCTAGATGCATGCATGGTTAAGCCATACGCACCGCAACCACTGAGTCGCGAGCTGCAACCGCCAAGATGTCTGCACATGACACTACTGGACCCCCGCAGACCTTGTCCACTGCAGCCTTGATTTGATCTACGACTCCGTATCCTCTAACGGAGTTGTTATTGGGTGGAGTAGTCTTCTCCGTTTGAATTCCGGTGGCATTATCCAGAAGAATTGAAGCATCACATCCCTATTTAATTAAGAAAATTGTCAGTGTTACTATATATATATTGACATGCCAAGACTTAGGAGATGGATGCATGAAGATGAAAATATACTACAAGGAATTAATAATGGAATGGGTGTAATGTATATATATCATCAGTGATATGATCTTACATGGACGAAGCAATCGTGGAAATGAAGACGAAGCAAGGAAGCCCCCATACGACTCTCCTTCTTGACAGCCGCTTCCACTGTTTTCTTAATAGTGGGTAAGGCCTGAGGGCATACTTTGTCGTAGAAGGTTGGAGAGAGATTAGCGTGAGAAGAAGCTATGAACGCTAAAGCAACCATGTTGCAGAGGAGGAAACAAAACAACCTACGTGAATAATAAGCCATTTTTACTCAAGCTAGGTAGCTAAGGGTATTGGCTTTAGTAATGGTGCATCTATTTGTCCTAATAGCCCATGGATATTTATAGACTGAAAGATGCAGATTACAGTGTGCCATTGTGTTTGTTTGTTTGTTTTGTTTCGGACATTTAATACCTGTAACTGTATTTTATAAATTAAGCTTAAAAGCATGCAACACAGCCACACTGAAAGTTAAAGCCCTTTTAGGCTTTTACAAATTAAACACATTCAACTTGTAATATAGCATTGTAAAGTAAACCCTGGAAGAAATTGAATGGTTCTTGTTGTCTTGCGCAGATAAGAACCATCATCGCCATTGTTATGTTCTTAACCGCTGCTTTCTTAGTAGCCTAATGTAGAGAGAGAGAGAGAGAGAGAGGAAGGCAATTGATTAGCTAGATCAAATAAAGTCCAGCTGGATTTGAAAGTTACATGTCAACAAAGGGCCTATTAAAGCTTATAGTTAATTCCATGTGTGGTCGTTGTTGCCTTAATTGTTCTTATCATGTTCACAATATTAATATATATTTGGTAACAAAAGCCTTCCCAGTGATGGTGGATCAGTTGATACAGAGATCTGGGATCAAATTCCGCTGCCACTAACGTTACTAGGGTTTAATTAAGGGGATGGAGTAAAAAAAACTTCGCAACATGGTAATTACTCAGAAATTAATGTAGAGAATGAATGTATGTATGGGTACGTATGTTCATGGATATTTATCATAAAACTGCCATTTATTTGTTGCAATGCTTTTTTTTTTTGCTTCAATATGGTGCAATGCTATTCAAATTAGGAGTTGGCCAATTAGTATTTGCATTCGGTGGCCCCGAAAGCCGTGGAAAATGGCGCATCAATTATTGGAGGGCCGGCCAAATAATAATTTGGTTTTATCGTCCAACCCACATGGTTTTTCTTTGATAGGCCTCTAACCCTATTTGGTTAATATTCCTTGTTGCGTGCATTACCGAATGACCTGAGCCAACCATTATGCCACTGCGCCCTCCCTCTCTCTCTCTCTCTTAACAGGAAAAATCTCAAGAACTATGGTCAAAAGAATTAAACCTCCCTGCAAGTTTCTTTTAAATGATGAAATTTCCCCTCCCTTCCTCATCAGTCAGAATAATATATGTGGGAATCATTAATTAAAAACTCTCGTCTCTCTTTTGCCCATGTTAATTTTTTTAATTTTCAAAACAGTGGAATCATATCAATCAGAAAATACAGCCATACGGATCAATTGGGCTTCAAGCCGTTGAGTTCACATCAAAAGTGCTCTTTCAATTGATTTTGGCAATCTATTGATGGATCATGATGGTACAGCATTAACATTCTGATATTTGTTATTTTTTGTTCCTCTGAAACATTATAATCCTAGATTATGCAAATTGATCTTTACAAGGTTAAAGTTTTTTTTTTTTTTTTGGTGGGGGTGGAGGGTTGGTGTTTGGCATCAATGATGTTTTTCCGTAAAATGCCATATGTTTGGTTAGCCATTTTTCTGAAAAAATGTTTTTTCATACCATGTCTTGAAAATTGGGAAAGGTATAGTCAAAGAAAACACCCTTTTTGGTTTTTCCAAGGTTTTTAAAAATGGACCAAACAAGCAACCCGCTCTGACATAAAAAATAAAAAATAAAAAAACAAAAAATAGCCAAAAATCATTGTTTGGGTCGACAGTTCAACCATCTAGGTCAGCAGTTCACTGACCAAATCAATGGTTTAGGGCCAAATAGCAGTTTTGGGGTGACACAGACCGGTTCCCAATTTTTCCAGTCCGGTGCTTGAACCAGTCTTAATCGTAGGGAGACTGCGCGCCTAACTACTTTGTCTTCATAATTAATTATATATCATACATGTTGACATGTATGTATGACCCATCATCATCATCATCATCCATTTTATATGTAAATTCTGCACATTGATTGAGTATATATCGACCGTTTGGTGCATTAAGATCAGAACAGCCTGAAGCACGTTTGGTAGATGTACATCTTTCTGTGTCTTTTGGTACGAGAAAGACATGAAAATATTTATTTTGAAGCTTTCCAAAATTAGTTCAAAATGAATTTTTCGTGTCTTTTCATACTCCAACTTTTGATGAATAGATCTTCTATGAACTAAATGGAAAGAGACCAAAAATTAATATACCCAACTTATAAACGATCAAAAGACCGCAAGGAAAAATATGCCAAACGGACCTTAAGATTAGAGTCAGACTAGGTTTGGCTCTAAGGCTTATGGCTGATGAAATCCATCAGTACGACGTGGCTTCGTTACCGAACGCCTGAGTCTAAGGAAAAAGTGCCAGTTGAAAAAGGCCTTTTTAATTTATTTTTTACATTGAGTGATTGAGTTGAGATGGGGACTCGCAGCTGAACTGGACAATCTTTGAAGCAGACAGAAACCAAATCGTTGGAGTATTAATTAATGTGTGTGAGTAACTAATAATTAAGGCCGCCGCCTCAAAACCAGTATACGCACGCTAGTCGCTAGTTGGTGGTCATCAGTATTAATTCTAAATTCTAATCATGTTGTTTTTTTAGTAAAATAAGGAGTCGATCCGTACTCCGAAGTATCCATTAACCTTCCCATATGGCGAAATTTAAATATGTTTAATTAATTAGCGCTACCCAGGCAGTCCCCACCTAACAACGTTTCCTGGTTCAGATTGGCCATCATGATATATATTGCAGAAATAGCTAGATAGGACCATCGTCTGGTGCGATTCCATGGATTTATAATTACCTACATGGTCAATTACGTACTGTAATACTTTAAAATGAAATATTGTAGTATAGTGTGTCTCAAGGAATTGAATGAAGTAATTGTTAAGTTACTGTGATTAACATTGCAATTAAAAAACCAATTGAGTTGATAATTAAAAGTGTCGGTCCCTTTCATTGTCATTAGAAAATAAGTGAAAAAGGACTGTGGTCGTCGTAAATGCCCTCTCGAACAACATATTAACGGGAAGGGAATAGAGAAAGGAGAAGGTAGCAGAAGACAAAAACAGGGAGGAAAAGAGCATGTAGTAGGAAAGTTTTCGTTATCAGGGTGACGTGATTGCATTTATATATGTATAAAGAAATTTGGCGTTGTACTTTCTTGAGCTCAAAGGAATTAATGGAGAGAACCACGTTACCCTGCCGGCCGGCCCCTCTTTGCTACAGTCGAATGGCTGTTTTGGTTTTAAAGCCTAAAGCCTCTCTCTCTCTCATTTATCCTAGACTCCCACAAACTCCCAAAGATAAGATAGAAAAGCTGGAGCTTTCAAGTCGGCTGTGGCCTGTGGGTCAACTTTGCTTAATGCACTCAACGACCTTCAACTCTTTCTTTCTCTCCATCTCTCAATGCATGTTGGTCACATAAATGAATGAATAATGAGATTGATTGATCCTGTGGAATGCTTAGACGTGACAAACTGACTATGGCCTGGTATGGAGCCATGATGATCTGACCTAATCCAGATTATATATTCTTCTCCGATTGACAACATTACTGTATATTAAGTTAAATTCAAACTATATTTACTAGCAGCAAAGTTGAGTGAAAAAACAGCTTGAGTTGAGCTTGTTAATGGAATATGACCGACCGACAATCTCATAGAAAACCATCTTACTAGCTGATTTTTTATATTATGAGTGACGACGTATCTAAACAATCAGATCCTATATATTTACACCTGTCAAAACAACACAATCAGATCTTATTGGAGGCAATTCGATTATAATTGCACGTATATCTACTATCTAGCTAGCTCCAAAACGGTGGCTGCTACCTCACAAATAGGGAATATTCGTCCAAGAAGAAAGAAAATGCCACAAAACCTGCATCCACGCGCGCGTTGGCTAGTAGCTACACTTGGAGAGTTGAGACTGACAACACGATTAGATATGTGACCCCACGAAATAAACAGGTTTAAGGTGGTAGATATATCTGGTCAGATTAGAAAGAAACGCCAAGGTATGTTAATTGCATTATGTCTTGTAACCAAGAAAAATGAGAATTGGTCCACTGCATTAATAAATTAAGCAAACCGAGAATTGGACCCAATTAAGCTCCATGCATAATTTCTCAATCAACGATTGGTTTGAAAGTTCTCTGCTTTCCCCCCTTTTCTATTATTTATTATTTTATCAATCGAGATAGCATTGCTGCATAAAGAAGAAGAAGAAGAAGAGATAGAGATGGCGCCCCCTACTATTAACATCAAGATTCAAGCAGTAGACAATATTAAATAAGGTCAGCTAAGGAACCAAGGAAAATTGGGTAGCACAACCCCATCTACTCATCCATCCTGAAAACGATTGATTGAGATGTATTCGGAGGAGGAAGGACCACCACCCCAAGCCAAGATGGCCCAAAGAAAAGTCTTGTGGCTGCCCCCATGGCCCAAAGAAAAGTCTTTCAAAATTAAATTTTAACAAATTAGCTAGGGGCTGCCCCCATGACTGTTTCACAGAAAGGGACACTGAATAGACAAAACCAACTGATGGTTATTAATAGACGCGTGGGTTCTTGTGGCTGTGTTCTGATCTCTCCATACCCTCTATTTGTGGCCAAAATTTCAGTCCACAAGCTCCCATGCATCAATTGAAATATTTCGAATTTAGTATCTTTTTAAGTTTTCTTTTTTTTTTTTCTAAATTAATTAMCCTGCCAATATCTGTATTCAATGTGTAGAAACCAACCCCGCATAAAAACGAAAGGAATATTTTTAGTGTTTAATTTTTAATCTAAAATTTCTTCCATGATGAACAGAGTTACAGATGAATTTGGTATGTTCATCTGACAACTCCAAACCACTTCATTCTACCATCTTAATTGCCTGGCAAATTGAATGGAAAGCAGGGGTTAGACCCATCTACATTTCCTCTTGATCCATTTGCACAAGTAGTGTAAGCCCATCGACAATGGACAAATCGGTGGCTGAGGTTCAGGTTCTCCCAGGGATTGAGGAGAGATGATTGAAACGAAATGGGAAGGATAGGAGAGCTGGAAACCTGGTATTAGTCATGATCGTTATTACTTGCTTGAATGTGTAATATTTGGTGTTCCACAAAGCTTGCGAGGACAATTATGTATGTACTATGTAGGAATCAGGATCAGAAAATGGGCCAAGGGCCCATTAAGGCATTTAATCACACCACGATATTCAATTAATTGGCAACTCACATTATTTTAAATCAAAAGAAAAAAAGAAAGGTCAACTAATATTTATTAGAACAGAATTTGTATGCTTTATGTCTGAGAACACCCCCATACCAGGCAGCTTATTTTGGGTTTTGACTGAATCTTATTGATACTCATCTGTCACAAAGCTGTGAATTATTTTAATTACACGTTCATATCATAATGGTTACAATAAAAGTTTGCTTGTCGTTGAACAAAATCACTTTTATTTATTTATTTACAAGATGTTAACATTGCAACAAAGGTGTTACATAGAAAACCATTGGGTTATTACTGACAAGACCAAGACATTAGTGACCCTTATATTTCATAAACCAATAACATTGAATTGGTTAAAATATATTATCAAACCGATGGTGATGGGAACAGGTGAGCTAAAGTTGTGTGATCCTTCTTCTATATAAACAAC